GCACCGGGTCATACACTATACACTCGTTAAGAATTTGATTTCGCAACGACGACATTTGTTGAAGCTATTGAAACATAGGCTCGTTTTCAATACTGTTGACATAGTATTGAATTTATTAATAACCTTCTTTAGAAGTTTTGACGAGCTGAAATATCGAATTGTGGGGAAATACGTTGTTATTTACTATGGGAGAAATATTAATTATTACGAAAATTAGACGGCCTCGGTGGTCTAGCGGTTATATATCTAAGTATTCCTATTGTAATATTTTCAATGTTAATTTGCTCATTGGTTTATTTATTAGGAGGTAGTCAAACCATACTAATAGTCGTAAAAGTTTGTCTATCTGTTTGTTACTAAGCATGACTAAACGGCTGAACGGTCCTAATTAAATTTGACGCGAATATATCATTAGAGAAGCATATATAAAAGCAGAAGGAACCGCGGGTAATCGCTTATATTTTTATAATCAGGGATATGTTATGTATACGATATGTTACTAATAATATCACCGGTAATATTCCTATAGGACATAAATCAAACACGTCGAAATGTCGTAACTCTACTAGAATTTTAATTATTTGCGGAAGTGAGGGACGTCAGAACGACGTTGACTTGACGTCATAGTGTCGCTTCTTATGTACACGTCCTTAGAACAATGAGAGTACATTGACCAATCTTGGACTTGATCGAGTACAGTCACTATGAAAATTTTGGTGAATATCTTATTATTAATATTATAAATGCGAATGTTTGTGACTATGGATGGATGTTTGTTACTCTTTCACTTAACAGTAATATAGTTTATACATCAGATTAACATATATGCTATAAATTTCACGCGACTGAATCCGCGGGCACAGCTAGTATTTAGATATAATACTTTTATTATCAGTTAGTGATTCAAGGTTTAAATAGCGTTAAGTGTTCACTCTCGTTTTGGAGATGTCATTTTCTCTTTTTGAATTTTGTTTTTCTCATTTTGAGTCTTACTTTATATTCATCTACGTTTATATATTATAAATAACGCATTCTTCAAAAAGTTGTGTTCCCCGCTACGTGTCATTTTTTTCAATGACAATTTTAATATTACAATTTGTAGTTCATTGAATTTTTCAGTTCATACAATACCAGACAGACATCGTTTTGAGAATTTTTATTTAACCGTTTGGGGATAAAACGTCGCCAATTTAAAAAAAAACAGGATGTTTACAATTCAAACATTGAGATTGAGAACATTGCCTGATGTTTTTAACAATTTTATATGTTTTCTATTAAAAAACGACTTCCATTTATGTTATTTGCATAATCTGGTAATACTGATTTGTGAAATAAAGTCTTAAATTGTGTGTGATATAGGTTTTGAATTAGAAGATAGATAAATTTATTTTTATTTGTATAAATACAGTCGAATAAAATAGGTACATTTAAATATGAAATCTATACATCTGTATAAATACAATAAAACGGCTTTATCGCTAAAACCAATTTTTTCAAGGTTAATTTTGGGTTAATTAATTTTGTTTTTATCTACTTTGTTATTTTCTGACGTTGGTGCATCCTTTTGAACGACTGTTGTGGTAATATGAATGTTACTATAATGAATGAATGAATGAATGAAACTCTTTATTGTTCCTATCACAGAAAATACAATTACATATACAATTATGTATAAATTAAAAAAAACAATAAACATGACAAAGAGGTAACAATGGGCGGCCTTATCGCTAAAAAGCGATTTCTTCCAGGCAACCTTAGGATGGAGAGAAGTGATTAGATTTGCGTCTGGTAGAGGTGTAATGATGGTAACAATATTGGATGAAATGTTATAAATATACATATAAAACATACAAACAATTATATAATCATATAATACATACAATCATACATACATACGATATAATGTATTGTTGTTGACTGTACTTCAAACACAAAGTATTCTTATAAGTTGTGAACTTACTTACACACAAACAGGAAGCCTTAGCCTTGAATATTATGTTTGTAACACCAAACCCTGACCCTGGTTTCCTGTCGTCGATTTAATTTCCAACGAAGCCGCCGAGATTATCCCTGATAAGGTGGTTCCCGGGCTAAAATGACATCCAAAATAATAACAGACAAACGTAATAAAACCATGGCGAAGCAATAAATGAGATAACATCTGAACTATTTAATTCTGTTAGCAATAGAATTTAAAAACCCCATTAACCATAGCTATTGAGGGCAAACACGAATATTAAAGTCAAATTAAATGAGTCGCCATTAGGGAAGGGGGATTATTCTTGGCAATGTTTTCTGTTAATAAAATGAACCAATATTGGGAGCCCTCGTGGTGAAATCGGATGAGTAAGGGCTGCCGCAAACAGGATAGTTTGCAAGTTAATTAAGCGTTCGCATGTATCGTAACATGTTTTAGATATGTTTTTAATGCAACGTAGTATAACGTATAAGATCGACATTAACTATTACTATTACCTATTTCGTACAATTAAATCTATCTATAATTTATATAGGTACATATATATACTTAGTCTCTACAATACAGGCCTGCGTGCCTAGTGTAGAACTACAGTAAATTAAAATGTAAATGTGTACCATGAATATACTTAGTCATTGGTCTTCAAGCACTTGTTTAAGATAATACCTAACAAGAAAGATTAAGATAACACAGAAAAATTAGAGGCATCATAAAGGGCATAAGGGGCATGACATCGTAGTCCTCTGGAATGGCTACATATATTTTAGTATTTGTATTATTACTGATGTCACCTAACAATATAGTGTCTATAGTTCAGGTATGTATATTGTTTGATAAGTGTCGTCAACCGAGCTTCGTATGCCAGATTTTTTAAAACGCGCATTTTTTATTGAATATTTTGTTTACTTCTTTCAATGTATACAGTAGATTATTTGTAAAAAAAAATTGTTTGCACAATATGTACAAAAAAATTATATGACTAAAGACTTGTCAAAAGAACTTTGTGCACATTGATTTTTGATGAGGAATGTATCTGCAATGTCTTGTTTGTTGAAAACATGAGATTGATTGAAAATTCGTCTTGTTCTCATAAAACTATGTTATATATTGTTCTCATAACAATTTAGTCTGCTACTTTAAAAATGTATATACAAACTTTACTCTCATTTATTCAGTCGGGTAAAGAAAATACATCCCCGCTAGTGTGCCGGTGGATCAGCGTATGTTGGACGTAGTCGGATTAAGAAACGGGGTAAATGGTGATGGTGGGGCGTGGGCTGAATCGAGGCCATGACGAAATACTGATTGATAACGTCCAACTCCAACTCACGTATACCGATAACATTGTTGCTATGCCAAGTAGACGCGGCGCCAGACAATAACGTCTACTTTTTTTAGCAAGTGATTATAGATTATAAATTGACGACGGCTATATCTACGGTGGCCAGCGAAGATAGTGTAACTAACGCGAATAGTGGCCCTATAAAATGTTGGTTTCTAAACCGATTGAAGTAAAACGAACACTAAAAAGCTTAGACTATATGCTAGTGAAAACAGCGCCCAAATTGGTTAAGTTTTTAAGATTCGCGCGCAAAAGCGCATATGCAAAAATTTTAGCAATATTTTTTTATGTTTTATTACCTTGAAGAAGCCCAATAATTCTCCAATCTCAAATCCAACAGTCCAATAGTCCTCCAATAATTATTTTTCTCGTATATCTTTCATGTACAGACAATGAACTGTTATATATTTTATATGTCCTTCGATATGAGGTTTTTGAAATTGTGGTAATGATATGTACATGACAGTTTACCAAAAGGAAGTTGAATGAATTTTTAAGGGCATTTCAAAATATAATTAACCATGGGAGTTATTTAAAAGTAAACTATTATGCAGCTAGATGAAGCGACGGTCTCCAGTTTTACAGGAGGACTATAGGTTTTCTAATTAATGGTTGAGTACCATTCCTTATAGTCTATTAGGAATATAGTAGGTATATGCTCAGCCTTAGAGTTACCTAGTAATTTATCTTATCCTTTTAAATAAACATTGTTATTTGCCGGCAGCAAAATATGAGACAGAGGCCTCCTCCAGACGACTTTGTGGAGATTCTCCTTAATAAAATGAATGAGATGCCTATTAAACTCGTTAAGATTAGCGCAAAGCCCGCGATTATTACGTGATTAGGACGTGTTAGATAAATAGATCCAATAAAAAACTAATCTATTCAATAACCTTATCCTTTAGTGATTAACGTTTTATTACTTTAACGGCAAGTAATCGGCATTCCAGATTACACAAAAACGTTATCATAACCCCCAAAGGTCCACATTTTCATTGATTGAGACATTCACCCCTTTTCCGTATTAAAGATTCGTGGGGCTCAATAAAAACGCGGTCTCATTCTGCATACATTAATCTCGGTCGCTCCTTCTACCCTCTTTAGATTTATAGGAGATTCGTCACGCTGTAATTTGAGTAAATTGTAAATGCATTTCACACGAAGTTCGCAGCTTCACAGGTCTTTGTTAACTTTGTTAATTTACTACACTGTATTAAATGTAATAGTTTTTACCATGTCATCCTCTTCAAGTATTACATGTTTAAGAACATGACATGACTGTGCTGTTTTAAAGTTCTATATTCATTGATCGATGGCTCTATTTACTTCACAATTTCTTTTATTTGCAGACGTGTGATAGTACTCTACACGCATACAATTTATGTGCAGTACTATAAAGATTATGTTATAATAGATTTCTAAAATCTTTGTTATCTAAATGTCTATATACTTATCTAGTACAAAATTCGTCTGTTAGTTCCAAATATTGATTTCATATAGATGTAATTTTATGCCCCTTTATAAAAATTTGTATACATAAAAATCGTAATGTAACAACTTGAATAACACAATATTCCGACCTGTCTACTTTATTACTACTGTTTGTTTTACTTTAATAAGAATTGTTTTATATGAGGTATAAGTATAATTTTTACATATCAGATTTTATTATTGTTACAGATTCCACGTGACACATCAAATGCAGAACTTTGTCATCAATCTAGTTCCACCATGTTAGATTAGACTCTGTATGTTATAAGTTAAAGATTCTGTGTCATCTCAAGTTCTATTACTATCAGGTGCATTATTAACTGGCAGTTAACGATTATCATCGGAATAATTGGTATCTTTAAAATTTTCAACATTGCAACGTGATAACGTTTTACTGCAGTTTCTTTTGTACTTAGAACGAATGGATTTGTAACATATAGTGTACCAATAATAACCATACGAATGATTATCATCATTTTATTTATCATTGATAAGTTCTCGGAGGGAATCGCAAGAATGCTCCATTAGTTTATAAGTTATATGACTTTACTACATTGTGATCCCAATAACGTTTTTCCGCTTTCCTTCGAGATCCTGACACGTTCGCGCGTTTATCTTTTATATTATGTCGTTTTATATTTTTATTTTTTATTTATATACATTTTTCGATATAGATGTTTATATTATGTGAGTTATTTTTTGAATAATATTGACTAACAAACACTAAACGTTCTAACGCATGACTTTAAATTTTACGAATTCAACTCGCGAGTGTGCATGACGGTAAATTTAATATTTTTAATGTTATTTTATTTTCTTTATTTATTGTTATATTTAGACAAACTGCTACACTGACATGCTTTTGATTTATTATTTAATATAAATTGATTCTGTGTTTTGTGGAAATGTTTACTTCAACAATTTGTGATATCTATATTGAGATCTAATGCAATTGTCGTAAGCCTTGCTCCATAAAACTTGATTTTAGGTTAATATCAATGAAATACTTAAATTCGAGTTTTAGTCTATGCATGGCAATACCCGGGGATTGCTTTCTAGTTTTTTTAAGAGGAAAAATTTGATTATGCAATCTATTTGATAAGAAATAATTGAATATTGTTTTATGGAATATGATTATAAATCTTTAATAAACGTTTCGGCATGATGTAAGAGTTTCATTTGCTTCCGTGCACCTATGAAGATGTTCTCACGGCAATTTTGCATGTCTCGTTGTTCGCGTTTGGAGGTCGGACGTAATGTCATTTTTCAATTAATCCAATGTCATCAGGACAGTGCGACCTCTGCTTCGGGCAGGCTAAGTAAGCTGTATTCAATAAAGTTTGATATTCTGTCCATCCAACATTCCACCTTATTGTTGGATCATTAACAGCTAATTTATGTTTTCATCATCACGAGATCAATATAGACTTTTAGCAAATTTGAACAGTTGGCTTGTCGTAAACTACTAACTGATCGCATTGGCAGGTCCAACCGTGCAATATTCGGGTCACTGCTGAAGGTTATGCGCGTTTTCACGAGATTTTTGTACCATTTATTGTATCTAGAACGCGGGTATTTATATTTGTACTGGATTGCTTTTACTGTGTCAGTAGAGTACAGCTGATTTACTCATTGTTGTGGCGTATTCGGAACTAGTTTAGTTAATGTTTTGATAGTTCACTATGTTTAACATCATTGCAACGCTATGAAGTTCCAATTTTGATTGTTTGCTTATGATACTGGTGTAATAATTTAAAGTTGTACAATCACCATAAATTCTCAAATTAGAATTCTCTTTGCGGCGATACCGAAGTCCAATCTATATAACTATTGGTAAATTAAACACTAGGAAATTTCGCTTGGTTACAAGAGAATATCGAAATATTTACTAGTTCAAGACCTGAACCTAGAAACCCAGTTGCAACAATGCGGTCAATTAAGAATCAGGTACAATCAAGTCTTAATAATTGAATTATTAATTTGTTACTTGTGACTTGAATGTATGCCATCTACTAGTTCTTACTCACTATTTCAGCCGTTCCCTGAAATGGTTTATTTTCTCATCGGTAAATACATTGGTTTATATGTATTTGGATTATACATGGACTCTTCTTCTTATACAAAATTTTATTAGAGTCTGTCAAAATATTTCACCAATACGGACGAGATCGGGAGTAAATTCTTGATTATATTACTAAATATAATTAGTAAAAAGTTAATTTAGCTCGTTTTTAAATTACCGCAAACGGTGCAAGTATTCTAATGCTTGCAACAATGCTCAATGAGGAGCTATTCTTGTGACTTAACAAGTAAAAGATAAGAATCGAACTCAGGGCCTCATTTACGCAAAGCAACCTAGCAACCACAAGGCAACGAAGGTCGTCAAACTCCACTGTATGTACAGATGCTGTCGTAAGGTGATTAATGAAATTAATTAGTACCTCATTTGACGTTGTCGGGTCGCTCGCGTTATCAGTCGGGATCTTGCTATTATCAAGCGCCGCGGGCGTTCACCCCCATTCGCAAAGATAATTAGATACTTATCTATCATATCGCCTATATTTGCGAGGGCGATGGCCGATCACGAAATATTAGTTTAAAATATGATTTATGATATCAGACGGACAGTTACCACTTAAACTTTTATCACAATTAATAATATCAGTACAGTTGGCAAACAAGCAGACACGGTGAAGAATGTTGAGGGCTTCAAAAAACTAAGAATAAATATACATATTAATGTGTATGAACCTCCGCGTGTGTAAGACAAGTGAAGACATCGCGCCAGTGTGGATTTGATACCTTTGGTTTTCTTGTGATGCTTCCTACCTGCTGATGCTGCAATCTACTTTCAATATTTTAAAGATATGATCCATCTAATATTTCAATTCTTAAATAGCCTCATGGACATGACAGAAAAGTAAGATGCCTACCTATAGTACGCTGCATATGCAGTCTTTTGGGGTCTAATTTAATATGAGTACATATGTATCACAAAGTCATCTGCATAGTAACTCTGTCTCACCTATTTTAGACGCAAAAGTTTATCATATGTCGAAAAGTGGTTGAAATGGAATTACATAGTACGGAGGCATTACTTTTTCATCCTTTGGGATGGCAACGAGTGGCAGGTACTACGAGACATGACGTAATGCCCATAGGCCATGGTTATCACTTACCATCTCAGGTGGGCTGACAACTTTGTCATTCTAATCACACAAAAAAATATGTCAGTGCCCAGTAAGATCATTGCCCATGTATCGAACAAAGCATAGTCACACACAGCTGCTTGTAAACAAAAACATTCGTTGTCAAGTGAAATAAGTTTGTAGGTTTGAAGGGGGGAGGGGGGGGATATTGGTATAGTTTTATTTCAAGTTGTTTCTTGTGTTACTATAATATGTTTTATTTTTGTAGTGTATAAAAGTATGTGATAGATAAAAACAAATTAAACAAAACTTTTATATTATTCATAACACCCGCTGAAAATGGATATAATTATGCTATTTTATATGTATGTGTTAAAATATAGCTCTGTTTTTTTTCGGACTACTCTAATGCTGTTGGCCGCAACTGGTCTTTACAGCTTCACCGGACGTTAGGGGGCGAGTGCAGATGGCACTCCAAACCCGCGAAAGGACTTATGGAGCGGCTGAAGGCCAACTCCTGCCTGACGGATACGATAGGAAAAATATAGCCTACTTTAAATACCAATATGAAACATTCAATTCAATTCAATATGAAACATCGTTACTATAAAAGGTGAAATAAGGTTACATCCTTGACTCTGAATCGATCAATTTTCAATATTTGGCCCACGGAAAATTGTAAGCAATTATATATTTATTAAAGAGAAAATATCCAATAAATACCTCTCAATTTAAAAAGTCGCACCGCCTTTATATCTCAATAAGAATGGCTCAGTGAACATCAGAATTCATGTCAACGAAATTAATTTAAAAAAATATACCACAACATTTTTATAAATGGCAACTCCATAATACGGTGACTGAAAGTATATGCCAATAAAAGTGGTCACACCACTGGTTTTAGCGGTTGTGAAATTTTACGAGTTCGCCGGATTGCTGACAATTTCGATTTCTAAAGATCGCAATCCAGTAAGTGAAAAAAAGTGATACAAAATGGAATAAACATCGAATTTAATTGGGTGTGAAGCACTACAACCACAAAGTAAATGTGGCGATGATGGTGTGCGCCGCCGTAACTCTTTGCAGATTCAATCCCTGCACAAAACAAACATTTGTGTTCATGAGTATGTGTGTTTGTAATTGGTCTGTGTATTTTCTTCATATTTATATGACTAAAAAGGCAAACAAGATGGCCGGCCCACCTGTTGGTAAGTAGCAAGCGTCGCCTATGTCCACAAATAATACTACGGATATCACGTCAAAGTCAAAATTATTTATTCTCTATGACCCCCTCCGGTCAGTCCACCCCCTTCCGATCGATCCCCCATCCAAGTCAAAAGGCAATCAAAATTACGACGGCCTCAGCCGAGGTTCGAACCCCTACATAAATCCTTTCGGCCTCTTGTGCACGTCATATTTTTTATAACTATGCCTACCGTCCACTTCGGCTGCTTCAGTTGAGAAGAACTAGCAAGAAACTCAATTGGAACATTTTTTTATGTTATTATTTTTTTTTGTCAGATATTACACAGCGCTTAAGTAAAGTATATATGTCTGACATTTTTAAAATATATAATCCCTTGCATAAAAAAATAACGTTATATAAGGTCGACCAAATAATCTTATAAACAATAATAGGCTTTATTCAATACTAGCTACTCGCCCCGGCTTCGTACGGATATACATGTATTATATTTTAGACTTTGTTTTATACTATGTAATGAAGAAGTTACTCTTAATAAACTTTTTGATCTATTAAAAGGTGAATCCAAAATATCTTTTGGTCGTCATGGTGACCCCCGTGGTATCTTTGTGCCATTCCGGAGGGATGTTATGGATACTAGAGAACTGATTAAAATACTTAGATATTTTTTTTTTTGCATACATAATATACATAGAAAATACCCAGACCAATACAATCATACTCATGAATATAAATATTTTTACCGTGCGAGTAATCGAATCCGCGACTGTCGGAAGTAAATCTAATCGCTAAACCACGGAGGCCGTTAAAATGAATTATATATATTTATATAATATGTCTAGTAATATTTCGAATGTATAGTACGAGATTTGCTTCCTAAGTCGACGGCAGGCATACGGCCGGTCATAAAACTATAAGCCGAAACCCAAAGTAATATGGATAAAAATATATTACGCGGGCCCCAAATGATTATGGGATGAGGGCAGGAAGATGATGAGTATGATCTCTGTTTAGTTTATGACCAACTGGACCGGTGTGATTTGTTGAGGGTTATTATTTAAGTTACACAACCATATCCTACTACCCTCATAAACCTTAACACACTTATTACAAAATGTCAAATCAATAATAAACATATTTTACCCTCCGACTCTGACAGAGATTGTAAGTTAGAAGTTCTTGTGTAGGCAGCTACATTTAGTCTATTAGAATATTCTGGTATCTTGGTAGATATATAGGCTATATTTGATGGTGGCTTTGTAATTAATTAATTAATCAATCAATCACTTTATTTTGCTGAATATAGGTATCCGGGGATGGCAAGTAAATTTAACAGTATCATATATACAAGAAATTATTATATATTATATGTCATCATCATAATTATCATAGACACCAAATTTTTGTTTTTTTTTTATATATTTATATATTTTATCAAAGTTGAGTAGTAATAAAGCAGATTAGTGTCTGTAAATTATGCTCGCTATAAAGTGCTTTTAATGAGTACGACCGTATATTTGGATACCGGTATAACTTACTTTAAGGTAACTAAGAATATGTAAGGTCCTGCAAGGTAACGTATAGTAGATATAGTATATATTTCTTTTATTGAAATCCGCGAAGTATGGACTCGAGATACCATTTTTATGTTATTGAATGTCAAATAAGCTGTCGACTCGCCTGTTGGTAAGTGGTAATGATCGCCTATATACATGAAAATGTGACGCTCCTAATACAGCTTATGACTTGATATTCCAATTCACCATCAACCGAAACAACTTATAAAGGAAGTTGTTTGGCGGCT